CGATTATATTCCAAATTTTACTATTATCAGTTAATATTATCATGACAGTACTATTATTACTACTATATTTCTCATGATTATAATTGAAATAACAATTATAAATATTATTACTATTATGATTATTAATTGTTATAATTGTTAATTTAATTTATTATTTTTGTAAATAATATTAATCAAAAACTCTACTACATGTTAAAAATAAATAATTTAATAAAATTGAATTCAAGAAAAATGCTGATGAGCAAGTGAAAAAAATCAATAAGAAAAAATGGCAGAAGAAATGCTTTAAAATGTCATCCATTCTCTTCGATCCTAAAATCCTTAAATACCAACACTTATTTCCATATCAACAGAGGTGTGCAAATCCGTTGACTGACATCTGTCATTTGTGTAGAAAAGAAAGCGGGAAAACGTTCTCAAAGGATTGTAAATTTCCTGAACAAAAATATTCACTCAGCATCAAAGTATACGCATTACTAAAAGAAACCCCCTGTGATTGGTCAGATATCCTCGCTGTTGTGTTTACAACTCATAGCTAGATTTATTCTGATGCTCTATAGCAAATTGGATACAGCTTCTTATTATTAGTTTTTCACACTTTCATTTTTAGTATTGTTTACTGCCATGCTGTTATTGCTGGCTAAATATTACTCTGAAACTTAGCTAATAGCAAAGGTAGGAGCAGTAGTTTTGTGCTGGATTCTCACCACTGAGGTCAGGGGTCTGAATCATACACTGCCCATTTTGTCTTGACTTTAAACAAGATGCTTTTTGAAAATTTACCTGCCTTTAATGTGTATATTGTAGGATAAACAGTATTGCAATTAATAAAGCTTAAGACATACACCTACAAAGAAACACAAACGCCACCATAGACAAACCCAGAGACACCCACAAAAATGTCATACACACCTTGACACCTTCTGCCTGGCAAGCCTTCACCTTGTCAACGTTATATAACTTCAATGCGACACCCCCTTCATCTTGGGACCTCTTCCTTGGGGGGAGGTCAATCCATCGGGAGCCTCCGTTTCCTCCCCCTCTATGAGACGTCTGTTCGGTCTGGGCCTTGGGAGACGCGCTCCTGCATCGCCTCGGACCTAAAAATAAAAGCTAACGCTGTCACCCATTGAGGTCTATACACTCACATGCCCCAGTGCTCATATTTAAAAATTCATATAATATCTACATCTAGAAAATAACTATATTTTCTGTATTTATGAATATTACTCTTGATAAATAATTTCAGTTAGTGAAAAAGCATGAAGTAATATCATCTAACACCAGCAATGAGTAGATTTTGGCTCTGTGAGTGCAAATTAATAACAAAAACGAAATACATAGAACATTAAAAATATGAACTTGCATGATATTCGTGCAGTGGCAAGGGTATATATTTGTGTGCATGTTTTTTTTTTTAGAAGCAAGCATAAAGTAAAACAACTATCTACTTGTGTTGGGGATGAATTTAAAGCATCTCAGTTTTAGGTTTCTATTCATAATTTCTGCCTCCACCACCTTGTTTTCCAAAGCATGCCCACAACTTCTTCATCTCAATGTTTTATTCAATTTTATTATTTTTTATTGGGATGTTATTAAGAATTTTGTTACTAATCAATTTTTTTTATTATTTAGTGTTCTAGAAATGTAGATCCATTATTGGAAAAATTGGTCATAAACACTTGATTCTCATATCATGATATTCATCTATTTAATGAATATGTAAAAATAGTTTCTATTGACTCAGTGTCAAGGGATTACGTTTCTGCTAAAAGATAATACTGTCTTGGGTAAAATCCGGCAAAAAGCCCAAATAAACAAATTTAATAAATTATCCAATTTAAATGAGACACAACTCAAAATAATTTTTAATTAATAAGGTTTTTGCTGATTAAATACTTTTTATAATGGAATCCTTAAATTGATTATCAACAAATTTAAGAGTCAATAATTAAAAGAATAGTATTATTTAAACCTTAGTTAATAGTTTACTTAAACATTAAACAGAAACAGCCCAAATTTTGAATTTAGCTGTATTTAATAAATTTTGGAGAAAAACGTTTATTTAAACAACGTTTATTTAAAAATTGACAGTATATTTTTAAAAATGATGAGAAGATTTTTTTCCACTTGGGAGGATGAAGAGTAGGAGAGCAAGAAGTCAGCAGTGAGTTTACCTTGTAATTTACGTTTGAGTTGCCTCAAAGCCTTCACCTTGCCCGATGATGATCTAATGGATTCGTGTGCAGACTCACTGTCCCTTAGCATACTATCATAACCACTACTTGTTTCTTCACTAGTACATGCAGGCAGCTTGCTAGTCAGAAAATCACTTACTGTGCTACTATTGTCACTTCCGTGACCGCTGCTGGAGCAGCGATTTGTCCTCGGCTCCGTCATCGTTGAGTACGGAGACAGGAAGGACGTCTTCACTTTAGCAGGGCTTTTCTCTGCACAGACTATTCCACTGTCGTTTCCACTATCCGATGAGTCCGTTAGACGGTTCCCCACTTTAAGTTTGTTGTTGCTTTGCGGCGAGCTGTTGGCCGGTAGGTAATCGCTTAGTGAACTTGTCGCCGACTTGTTCTGTTTCGCGTTATTGGTGCTGTTCTTGGATAGAGTCGGAGCAGATTTACTAAGGGACTTGTTTCGCACTGGTAGCGAGGATCCTCGACTGGTTGCTGAGGTTGCCTGGTGCTTTGGACTGGTTGAGGCTGTTTTGCCTTTGTTTGTCGGGCTAGGCTTTGCAGTAGGTATTTTACTAACGGCGGATTTCTTACTGGAAGACTGTGTAGGAGGACTGTCCTTACATTTGGTTTGGCTTTGTGATGTTTTGGCACTTTTAAGAGCATTTCTTGCAGTCTGTCCGCTCTTCTGCGATGGACTACTTGTACGTGTGGGCAACTTACTGCTGCTGTTGGTTCGTCGACTTGATAACAGGTTGGAACGGCAACTGGATTCCGTGTCGCTGTAAGATTTGCCTTGCATAGATATGTTTCGAGTATTGTCAGACTTCTTACTTTTTGATTTGTCAGACTTGGAGAAAATCTTTGGTTTCAGGATTCCTCTTGACTTAGGACGTTCTCGCCCATTAGTCTCGCTACTGGACAAACTTGCATTGGTCTTGCTGGCTACCTTATTGATACCTGTTTCTGCGACTGAGTCATAATCTTGTGAATAACATGGGTTATCCTCAACATCAAATGTCGGGGAGGAACAAGCACCAATCGTCGGAGGCCGCACGGCTTCAAACACTTCTTTCTCTTCAACATACTTAAGCTGATGTCTGAAATGGTTCTTGCGTTCATACATTCTCAAACCCATTTCTGGCTCTGATTGGATATCATTGGCAGCTGCACCATCTGGTTGTCGGAGTAACCACATGTCACATTTTCTTGTTACTGGTTGCTCTTCTTTTTCTACTACTGACATTTTCTCTTGAACTTTGGCAATAGCGTTGCATAAAACCTCAGGAAGAGGTTCAACATTGAATTGGTTAATCTTCGTATGGTGAAGCGGACTTGCCTTTATTGATGTTGGTTCTGATTGAGACTGTGACATTTTCTGACTGACTTTCCTTTCTTCTGGTTCTGGTTCATCTGACATAAGCTGACGATGTTTGTGAAGAGAGCCCCGTAAGCAGTTATCCTCACTTGTGTAGCCCCTTGGATCGACAGCTTCTGCCTTCAACTTTGCCAACAATGGATTGACTTTAGCACACGGTAGAATGGTATTAGTATCCAAATGTGATATCGTACGTGAACTTTCAGAACTCGCCGAATTTTTTTGGCTTTGATTACTCATCCGACGCTTCTGACTTGCTTCTCGCGTTAGTGTGTCCATCTTTTCCCACACTTCTGCATTTTCGTCGGTCATTTTGTCGAACAAATGCATGGCATATATTGGCACATATCCGGGATGCGAGTAAACTTTTTCTTCAACGCTATGTATGTCTGAAGCATTGAATCCAGATGAGAAGTCAGCACTCTCATCGTCTTCCTGACTGATGAAGCTGGAAGGGCGGGAGCAGGTGGAGAATGTAGCATCTGTGGCATCACTGATGCAGCTCAGTCGCCTCAGAGGATGGTCGACAGCAAGATGTTTCTCTCGCATTACCACTTGACCCTCGCCCTCCACTGTCATGTACGTAACGACCTGTGGCTCATCCATCAATACACTGGGAATATCAAAATCTGCCATAGTTGAAATTGATCCTTCGTTGGGATCATCTGTTAACAGGTCATCAACACTCAGGTTTGAGATAACGTACATTGACTTGATTGCATCTAAATCCCGCATTCGGATCTCTACAGATGATACACTTTCCGCCTTCTCTACAAACATTTTATCATCTTTCGCTTTTTTCTCACCAACCTCAGATTCATCATCAGAATAAACGTAATGTCCAAGGTTCCTTAACTCCTTATCAATCACCCCACCTGATCGATACGGACCTTGGTTATTTGTGTTTGCACACAAACTTGCAGTGTTTAAGTTTGTGTCAAAGTTTTCTGAGAGTGAGTCTAAAGACTGCCTATCAAGCGTGGCGATGCAACATGCTTCGGAGCCAAGTGGCATGTCATCAATTGTCAGAGCCGCTTGGTCAAGCGAAGTTAAATCGTCAGTTTTAGTAGATACAAAAGATCCGACTTCAGAATATACCAGAGACATTTCATCCTCGGACCTCACCAGCGACAACTCCGAAACAGGCCTTTCAAGAAGCTCTGCAATTGTATCCAAAGATTCAACAGAGTGAATTACTCGCTCCGCATTATACAACAACTGAATATGCTCGCCATTTAAATTCCCATTGACATAATCGCTTATCATATCCATATTTGGCTGCATGCCTTCAGGCCGACATGCTTGACGGACATCTGTAAATGTCGGCATACTGACAGACTGCGTTAAACATTCCAAATTATGCTGGGTGTTCTGTTGGTTGTAGCTCCTACCAGTCATGCCCATTTTGGGATAGTCTGGTTCCTTATCTGGTGAGAGCTCTTCTACATGGCCGGCTAGTCTTTTGATATTTTCAAAGTTTGATTCATGTATTATGCTCTCATCATGCGAGGTATTATGAGCATCATCGTCTTCATCATCGTCTGGTGTTTCTGCAACAGGGATCACAACAGCGCAAGAATTTTCAACAATTTGCTCGGCCATTTGAACTCTTTCCTCGTTGACATCAGGTTTAATTTCAGTCCTTGTGTTTGGCGTGTCATTAGTCGCTTGTTTTGCGATTGGTAAACTGTCTAATTTCTTTGTGCGTTTATTACTACAAGATGTACTTGATTTGGAAGGCCTTGGAATTCCTGATTTCTTGGAAGGCGTTTGTTGCTCTTGCTGTTCATCAACGGTTTTCATATGATTTGCAATATTACGAGCCGTGTCACTCTCACTACCGCTGTCCTTTTTAGATTTTTTAAGTTCATCCTTTCGACTTATTTTATCGTCAATCTTTGATAATCGACTATGAAGTTCATCATTTGAAACATTTCTTGATTCATTTACACGTCCAAGAGAAGGTTTAAAAATTGGCACAGATTCTGGTGGGCCTTCATTATCGGTCAGATCGCGATCACTAAGGGCGCATCCATCTGGCCCGACATAAATGACAGTATCACAAGATTGCTCACTGCTAGATATGTACTCTGGATCACTTTGGCGGATAGCATTTGTAACCGTGATTCCATTGATATTTCTGGTGTGGATTGATCTGAAGTGAGGTCGACGTCTGCGCCCTTCTTCACAAGAGCTGTCTCCGCCAGAGGAGCTCGTTCCTGAGTACTGTAAGAGAAAAGATCTCAGTTCAATCCACACATCCATGACTTCATGAAGAATGATAACAACGATAAAAACACTCACTTTATATACAGATCACAATTCTCTTGACAATGTCAAATATAATGTAAAAATAGAAAAGGATAACTCATCCGCTGTTTAGACGCCCTTTACTATAACGTTTAATTCAGCAAAAGCATAATTTTTTTATAATCATTCACTTCCCAAATCATCCTTGCTAGTTTCGATTTAGGTTTTATCCAAGTGTTATTAATCTGTTTATTTTTTAAACTTTTAGATATAATAATGAGAGAATATATATAAAGAGGATGTATGTGTGACAGACAATTACCAAATGAATATTCATAACATAATTATTAAATATTAAAGATGAAATTACTGATAGTTTTGTAATAATGTCATTGACATGAGCACTGTGGTACCTAATTGACCAGTTTTTTTACTCACTTTAGCTTTCTTCTTGCCTCTCCTGTGGATTCTAGCTGCCTGTTGGATGGTGCTCAAAGTTTCATTATAGCACGAGATGGCGGAGGACACATGAGCTATCATTGTGGCACGGCAATTAATGCTTCCTAATGACTCCCGCAACAACTGGGTCAATTTGCTGTCTCTGCACAGAGAAAAACAAGTACTGTGTTAACACTGAGGTGATTATTGATGTACATTATCGCTCTTCTCAACTGTATGATAATAGATTCATGAATTTCAGATATTTCTCAGAAGAACAATTAAAGTGAGAATGACACTGAGTATCATGGGATGTGGACCACACTTCTCATTTATAACCAAATCAAGTCATTGAACTTTCTAAGTCCAAACCATATCACATCTGAATTTTCATTGAAAAATTATTTTGTAAATCATTACGAACAATTTCAGCTGAACTAGCATCATAAAATTTCATTGCTTAATTGCCATTAGTGGTCACAAACATTTTACTTAAAATATCATTAAAAATTTTTCTTACAAGTCCCTTCAGTATAAACTATTAAATTATTACTGCACACTTTAGTTATTTACCATTAAGGTGTTTACCCTAAGTTAATGCTCTTTCACTTTCAATTGCCAATATAATATTACATTACAAAAATATTAGTTTCTATTCATAATCTCTACATTATCAAACTTAGGGAGTTAGTAAACACAAACAGGACTTGACAGCGTAAATTTCACTGAAAAAATAATTTTCAACATAAGACATAAATCTATCTTAATTTGGAAACAAACAATATTACAATAAGATGTTTCAAAAACTAAGTTACATTTAATGAAGAAAAAATATTAATTAAAAAATCATTCTAAATATAAAGATTCATTTCCAAATAAATACAATTTGCTTTTACACCTACCTGTGAGGAATGTGTTTATCGGAGTTCAATAACGCGAGGACTACATTTCCCAATGAGGAGAACGATAATGCTTGCCCGTTGCCGGTCCTGCTGCCTTTATCGCAGCTGCCGAGATCAATCAAGTGCAGACGACTCCTGCCACCCATTACACCTCCTTTGCCAGACTTCTCAAAGCGGTACTGATACACGTGCAACGTGAAGAGCATGTGAGAGTTGCGTGATTCCTCTTCGGGGACAGGCTCATCTATGTGTGGAATAACAATCAACGTATTTTAGATGTTTCTGAAATCGTAGGTCACTCGACTAATAGATATATGGATGAAATATCACTAAAAATTATAATCCATGTCAGAATCATCAAGTACAATGTTTGCAAACAATAATAACAATTTATACACCATTTATTGGTGCATTAAAATGCACTTAAGACATTCCTTATGAATTACTTCTGACTACAACAAATTTAAATCTATATAGATAGCTCAGATTTCATGTTACCATGCCAGTTTTGGTTTAAAAAATTCTGTATGAACAAGTATTCTAATTTGAGAAAAAATTGGTTAAAAGCTAGCTTCCAGTTGAAATGAAGCAGATGTGACATTTTAGAGACAAAAAAAAGAAAACGAAGCAGATTTTATTTCACAGCAAATGGAACAAGAATATTAATATTTTTTGTAAGGAAAAATGTATTATGTAAGAACTGGAATGCGGCAGTATTTGGCTTCTTGATTTTTTTCTAAATCCCAGGTAAAATTGAACAAAATCAAATGAATATAACTAAATTAGTGAAATATTGACTTAATTAGGAATGATAAAATATATAATATCACACAAGCCTATCTTGATTAATCGCATCCGTTCACAACTCTGTATTACCTGTTGGATAGGTTTTTGATTTCCTCGCTGCGATGGCGGCGTCAAGATAGAAGGCTGCTTTCTCGGCAGAGGGTGCCCTAAGCTCGCTCTGATTCAAGAGTTGAACTCCGCAGATTGGGTCCTCAGCCAGGTAGATCCCAGGTGAGGTACCGCAGCCATTATTGCTACCTGTTGAGGAAAACAAATAATCACTCATAATTAGAACAATCGAATAGAACATGAAGGAATACAGCAGAATGAGAAGAGTACAAAAATATATGCATCAAAATTCATAAGCTTAATATAATGGGAATGACTGCATAGACTATTTTGCATTAGCATTGCTGGAGTTAAAATGTATAAATACAGTAGTTCGGAAAATTAACAATCATTAATTTCAAACTTTTTGCCATATATTTATACTGCTTTAAATGTCTAAATTCTCATAATGGGGAGGAGACCATATGTAATATAGGAGTAGGCCCACACAATAGCAGGTTGTCTGTAGGATTCTAAGCTAATAGAATAACAGAGCCGAAATTATTCTATTCCACAATATTTTTCTGATAGCTGATTGCAGAAAACAAAACCCATTTTAATATCATAATGGGGAAGAAAACAAAATATGGAAAAGGAAACACAATAAGCTTGGACAGCGTATGGGCTAAATTAAACATAGGTTAATTGAACAAAGATAAACAAAGGTAAAATAAACAAAATGAAACACAAAAGTTGCAACATGAGACTATCCTTTGTTATCAATTAACACCACATCGGTTATGGAAGAAGCAGACAGTTAATTTATTTATTTCACCATGAAATCACATGGTTTTGGTGTTTACGGCCATTTACTGTGTCAACGAAACAATTAGACGACTGCAGTTACGTAGAGTTTACAGTTCTGCTTTAAACAGACTGTCACTATAACAATTTCAGCAACTCGTTTCCAATCAGCTCATATGATCAACGATAAAGAGTTGCCGTGTTTAATGAACACCAATTACTGAAGTTGTCTTTTAAAGTGAAAAATAAAATCCATTAATCATTTGTTTTCATCATAACCACTTGATCAAAGTCTAAGGCCAATCAGTAATGCTTCACAATTTTAATGGCACTGGGAGTTGCGCACATGAATCAATACCATTTGGACACCGGTTAATTCTTCTTGTTACTATATTTGAGCCCTATGACATTCTCTAGTAACAAGGTGATAGGACTGATAAGCAAATGGATGACTCACAAACTAAATGCAACAGGGCCAGCAAGCCATATCGTAAACATCTTTACTGAAATAAAACTAGAGGGTACCTGATAAATCTTTGATAAGATAATTTAGTGTAAACTCCAAAATATAAATAGTATGTCAACAAGTTGGGATTCAATATTTTGACTTTCTTGGACGACCTTCCAGAATAAAAATATGTCACTAAATTCTAACATGAACTACATTCAAGAATTATCTTCTTAAATTACTGAATAAAACATTTATAATATATTATTGGCAAAATTAATTAAAATAAATATTTAAAGTTTAAAGAAAATAATCATGATGGATTAGAATGCTTGTTTAGTGTTTCTTACATTAAAACACATCGACAGACAACATGGTATAAATAATCCAAAAAATTTATTCTTAAACAAAATAAAGTTTGGTTAAAAGCTGACCTTTTCAAATAATTAACTAGATCAATTTGTAATATATGCTTTCAAATTGGACTAGATACAGTAATTAAAAGTTTGACAGACAGCCTATCTACTGTAATTATGAAAGTTAACAATTTAGGCTTTTCTGAAGGACTTGCAAGGAGGGAAACATAGAAGCCTGACAGCCTAGAAAAGCTTCATTGAAAAGACGGAAGAGCTAGAAAATTAGTTAAGCAGAGCAGAAAGCCACCACTATTAAGCAAAGTCAAGGAGATCGGAAAAACTTAGTCACAGTACACTAATATTTAAGTATAGAAAGAATTCCAGATACTCTTGGCAATGACTATAAAGTCAAATTCATTACACTTATTATTCTTTTACAAAGAGGACTTACTCTTCCATGTAGGCAGGTAATCCCTAGTGGGGATTAAATTGCTATCAACTTAATCCCGATTAGGTCATGTCCATATTGCGATTTTTCATTCTAAAGCCCCACTAATCCGCTCTGACCATCAAAGTAATTGCGGTGTTACGAAGCGTTATCACTCGGACGTGAAAGTCATTCAAATTAACCGCATTTAATATGCATATATGGAATTGATTGTGAACCACATTGCTGTCAGAGTTCATATAGCATTGAATAACCGTTATAAGTGAGCAAGCAACCTAGATACAAGTGAAATTTTAGATTCAACACAAATGACATTCATGATATAAATAAGTAGAGATTCCTTAGCAAGTCAAAATTGATAAGTGCCTATCGCTATTTTCATCCTTATAAATCACATAGTTTTTAGTAATCACCCCACATTCTTCAGTTATGCTATATTAATTCTCTACAAGTAGACTCATCTATTTAGTCAAGGTTGTTTATTAATTAACTATTTGGTTATTGATGGTATGTTGTCTTCTGGATTGATGCCAGCAATCTTGATGCAATCAATCTTAAACGGTGATCAGTAATCAGAAAGCAATTACTATAACAAGTTCAAAAATCAAAGTTCTACTACTCAAAAAAGAAGAGATAAAATCCATGCAAACCTCTGATGCTTTTGCCAGTCATTATGGCAAAGAATTTTTATATCAAAGTACTTGTTATAATTAATTTGGATAATTTATAATTAATTAAATAATTAATTAACTTGCTTAAGTCGGGATAGAATACACACAAAACCTACGGTAAGCCTGCTACGGTCATTTTATATCTTAAATCATGATATTTTTCATAACATAAAATTTCACGTTTTTTTTTTTTCCTTACCGTTGGCTTGGTCAGCCAGTAGGTCTTTTAGGTTCTCCTGCTTCCCGTGAACTTCAACTGCTGAAACACGGACCGAAAACCGTGTACTCGTTTTCTCCTTTTTCTCGTTGATCAAGCGAAACAACCACTCAATGGCGCATGGGATAACACCAAGATTTTGTACACTATCATCTCGACCAATCATAGTGAATGATTTCCCTGTAAGAAAAGAAAAACAAATTTTCCTTCAAAAAATAAATATTGATATTCCAAACATTCATATTGAGTGTAAATTGGTCTCTTGGTCTCCTGACGAAAAAAATATGAATATTAATGAAAACTATTGATAAATTGTAAGTGACATTGACATAAAAATCAATATCAATTTAGTTAAGTACATTACACAACATGAAATAAACAGAGTCTAGATTTCAATGTTTTAAATGTCAAGGAAAACTCTAAATGCATTTAATTATATTTTTAGGTTATTTGGATTTGCATCGTCTGTACAAAAATGTAAATAACATAAATAAATGTAATATAATGCAATATTTATTTAATTCTTCAAATTTAATGTTTCAATGACATTAAAAAACTTTATATAAAATGTAATTTTTTTAAAAAACAGCATAGACCTACAGTCTGTGGTAAATCTAAAAGACAAACTTTCAATCAAAGCATTAAATTGCTGATTTAAATAATTATTTCAATCATTTAAATAATTATTGTTTTAATGATTTTTTTTTTTTATTCTGAAGACTGCCGACAAATTCAAGGTTTATACAAAGAGGATGTTATGTAAATCGTTAAGATGATATTCTCTAGTTCTAATTAATAATTAAAAGCTAATTATCTAAATAAATAAAATATCAATAAAATAATTATAATTTATAATTTAATTCTATTTTACAAAATACAGTATATTAGCGCAATGCAGATAGTATTCTAATTTCTATCTTTATGTAGGAGCAATAAAAATTAAATTATTTTTTAACGTGAAAATCATTTAAAGAGTTGTCCTGAATACAAATTGAGCTTTTGTACATAATATCAACATTAGATAAATTACTCTACTTTACAAGGCAGGAACAAATATTAATCAATAGAAGTGCTCTGCTGTTACACTATCTAATTGATTTAACTGTTTGCGGGAGAATTACTAAAATTCTTGATCACCGACTAGTAATATGCCGCTAACCTCAACACTTAAACTAACAATCGGTTTGTTTACATAACTGACCAGGTCGGCCACTTAAACGGTAAATTCCTCCAACATCTAACAAATTACTGACCAATCACATATTTGACCTGATAACATGAATAAAAACCGCTACAACCATGATCAGTCAAGCAATAAATCCTGCAGCCACCGGCTGGGATGAAAAAAATGACCATTGCAGATAATATCCAGAGGCTATTGGTCTACTACTTGACCATGGCGTTGGTAATATAAAAGGACTGGTTACGAAAGAATGGGACCTATTACGACTATTGTAATCAATACTCGTTCGTAATAGGCAATCGTATCATATAATATTGTTGGAATTTGAAATCAGATACACACAGTTGTCTGCAATTCAACTGCAAGGAGATTGCTTCGTTTAACTATTTCAAATGTCTCAAATTACGCATTGTGTTTAGGAAAAGTACTCCGAGTGAGTGAATCACCCAATCCAATGAAAGAATAAACGTGATGTTTAACATGAATAGTTACCAACAAAACCATTTAGCTATTTGTGAATTTAAAATTTATTTTTCTTGCAAATTTGGTAAACTATACTACGCAAGTGGGAGGGATATCAAAAGAATGTAATTTAGATGCTTTTTTAATCATTGTGGTATTTGAACAGTTTTTTTTTTCTTTTTTTTGCAAGCACTTACCGAGTCTTGAATGGCCATAGCAGAACAGACAGCCATCAGCACCATTTACAACTGCTTGTACGATATCCCCAATACTTGCTGCACATACTTCAGCCTACGTTAAATAAACAACAAAGAAATATTAACAAACTAATGTAGAGGAGGTATATACACAGTAAGTGAGAAATTCTCCAACATAAATACATTAATGTGGTGAAGACCAAACAAAAGATGGAGTGATCTTTTCTTGGTGCGAACTGGAAAAATCTGGCAAAGAATAGACCAAAATGGAGTTTGAGGAGGCCATCGGCAGTACAGTAGTGGCCTGATAAGCTGATGTTTATGATGATAATGATGGTGAAGAATTTCTCAATATTGTTAGATTTGCAAAACTGAAGGGATGCAATTTACAAATATAAAAAAATTGTTAATTTTTTTTTTTTAAACTACATTTTCAAATTAAAAAAAATGCTATACCTGGGAGGAATCCTGAGGGAACACTGAATCGAACGCAAACATCTTTGGTGCTGTTACGCCCGTACGGCGATTTGACGAACTGGCCGGATTGGTCATGAACGATGGGTCAAATAAGGTGACTTGCTTCTTTTTCTGATCAACGGTGACGAATGTAGCTGTGTCGTGGGGATTACTGGATGGTACCACACGCAACATCACTTTTACCTGGAAAAATTCAGATGAAAGAAAAACCATCAAATCTTGAGTTTCTCCCTGAATTGATGCCGTACATAACCAAAGTAGTTACAGTATTTACAAATGATTATAAACAACATTAATACAAACATAAAAAAATTCAACAGAATAAAAGGTTTATTTATGTAAAAGCTATTTTTTTTTATAACACATTATTAAGTGTTATGCGATTTTCCCTTAAGTGGATGAGACGACACTGACATGACCATATATTGGGTATTGTATGACATCACTATGTCCATATGGCTAAATTACATAAATCATGATAATGTAGACCAAAAAAAATGTTACTTTATCTCTCTTGCATTATTTTTTTGGGAAATACAGTAGTTCAAACCAGTAAACACATTTTGTTCATGCTTTAAATCATGGTGGGTTATACCACAATGCTTAAATAAACAATTAAAATACTGATACGAATTAAAAAACAAATTGGAAAACAATAAGCGAAACACTATACAGAATGATTTATAATCATTGCTTCTTTTCTCTAAGCAGAGCTGTAAACATTATCTTGATCATAAACAATGGTTCTGATTACTAAACTTCTGGATTGCTAAGACCAATGGCATAACCATCTTCACAACTTCATTCATAAACTTGTAATTGGAGAGGTGGATGTTATTTATGACTGTTATGATGTCTTCCCGCACAGGGGCCTTTAATCATGATACTCAAGTCTTTAGTCCAGCTGAGCCCCTTGTAGTGGATGTTACTCTCTCATGATTGATTTAAGTGGCCATTACATTGACATGTTCTCGTGACTACTTGTGCATTCATACAGGTATGAGAGTCATAAATCTTCGGTCATGAGCTAAATGGAATGTCACTCAATGTTGATGTATTATATTTCAATATATAATTTGATTTATGTTCTTCATAATGTTTTCTTCATCTTAAGCATAACTTTAATCTTTTGCTGTTAATTTTTAAGAGGTTAGATAAAGTTTATACAGTACAAAAAATGGAGTATGAAATACAATTGTCTCTACTGCTCATATTAAATTTGAAAACATGTTCAATCAACAAATCGTATAATTATGATTGTACTATGTTAAGTATTATAAACTATTAGCGAGCGATTTCCTGTTGAAGGCATTTACATTTTTTCTTGGTTCCGATAATTGGTGGGCTAAATTGAAATCTCTGGGACCAAATTTAAGGGCCATTGACTAATATTATTATATATTCACTGAAAACAAGTCCAGTCTACTGAAGATGTATGTTTTTAATAATTTATGAGGTACAGTAAAAACACAAGTTAGACCATGTACACTTTTTTTTTTTTTTCGAGAACCAATAAAATTTTGCCCAGGCTCAGTCTTCTTATTTTTCTCCAATTTTAGGCTCAAAATCCTCATCATCATCATATGGTTTCAGTCCTTTTCCATTTTGGATATGGTTTTGGACTATTCTTCATTTGATGGCAGATCTCAAAGCTCTTCTTGCGTTTTTCCCCCCCGGTCGCTTTGAATGAGTTCCTCCCATGTTTTCCGGGGTCTGCCTCTACCTCTACTACCTTCAACCTCCATACTTCTGCATCTGCTAACCCAGTTACCTGCCTCCTCCATCCTTTCAATGACTGCACACAATACCTGATCCCTTGTATGGCAAGTCTATCCCTGAGTTCTTGTGAAGTCTGTCCGTCTTTCAGGCTAACATGGCACATCACATGTTCCTATAATTATGTTCTTATTTTTACACGCTATTCAAAGATTGAAAATTATTGTTGTGCAGCAGTAATGTATTGTATTATAGAGAGGAATATTGCTTTTTCTTTAATTGGTTTTTCTATTTTTTTTTTTTTTTTTTTTTTTTAAATAAAAACCTTATTTAAAATTTGAACTCTACCTCAATTCGTTCTTATTTTGTTCTTATTTTTTAAGCAATTTCATCTTCAGTGTTCTTATAAAATTGTTATAAAAAAAAAAGCAGTACTACAAAGCAAGTTACTCCAAAGGAATATAAAGTTGCGGCATATTTTTCCAGACTGCATTATGTTAATTTCAATATAGTGTACAATGGTAATGGTAATGGTTGGAGACTTATATAGCGCATAATACATGGTCTCTATGCGCTCGGGACTAGATGTTGCACTTGTACAAGGTGATTTAAACTATTTTGACCCACTATAACAAAGAAATAGAGTGCCTTAACAAAAAACTATATATAGCAACACATAAATTGCATGTACATCACCGACAAAGGAAATTACAGATTTATACAAGGATAAACGTTTTTTTTTTATAAATCGGAAAAACGTTTTGTCAGAAATTGATGAACACAAAGAATGTAATGTTTTTAAAAGAATTAATATTGCACATATGACTGAACACGTCAATCATTCCAGACAAAATTCTCATGAACTTTGTTCCATAAACACAGAATCTTTACAGAAATATGGAATTGTATACTTCACAACTGTATACTTCAATGATTTACGCAATAATTTGCTAATAATTTCCCTGGAATATCAATTCGTAAGCAAGCGATTTACAATATCTTAAGGCAGAAGGTTTAATTAGGATCTCACGCTTTGATAATCGCGAAACACTGGCGTTTGTTTCAGACAATGGAAAATTTCAATCCAACGACATAATTAAGTTGACAAGGAACACACGTCATTGACATGTATCCCCCGTATCGCTTGCACATACACGTTCAATGTTATGTTTACAGCTCGCCAGTTTGTGCCAACAATCATTTAGTAAACAGCTTAAAGGCATATTACAACAGATCCTTTACTCATGGGTGTGTTGATTCTTTTATTCCTTGTGTTTTTGTAAAACAGTATAGAAACTGACTAAATTACACTCAAATCTAGTATTAATAACAAACTGTGTTGTTTTACATAGACCTGATTTTTAAAGACACTAACGACCACTGTCTGTAACCAATGGACCTTAAGACGTTGCCAATGATCTCATAAAGCGTCGTACGACACCTATTGTTACCCAATTTTGATTGACGCTGTCATTTTACTGGCTGGGGGACACAAAACCTGGTGCATTTTTTAACTAATGTGCCAAAAAATTTAAATGAAAGTTTCAGTAATGGTATCGCTTTAAGTTAAACAGGTGTGGAATCGAGATTCTTTTACACAAACTATTTTCAGATGAGTGATTTGTTAACAAGATGTAAGGAAATATGAAAAGATAAACAAAATTTATGACTGTTCCCTCCCTTTCTCATATTCCATCAAAATATTTTCCTTGTTTTGTCATTTTTCTGACCATATATTGAACTTGGGAGAAACAGAAACATTAATAATCCAGGTGTAAAAGAATCCATTACCGCATATTTATTGTTGCGCTTGTTGTCAGGTAAATGGAATCGTATAATCTATAAGCAGGTAGATAAATTCCTCACCTGGAAATTTATTTCCTAATTGCAAAGACTCCATTTTAATAGAACACTTAACACAGAAACACCATGTGATTTTCGAATCACAACGTGCAAATCAGCACATAAAATATTACCCTCCGCGTATTCCCAAAAGATTTTAAATTGAAATAGTGACAGCGTTGATCAGATCTGTTTAGTGAATCACAAACTACTTCAAAATATTCTTTACATTCAATTAAATGCTTAGCTGGTATATTCCGGCATGTGACGGAATGCTGGAGTGGAATTTAAACGGCTGTCTTTACGAGTACCGGATTTATAATTCACAAGGGGGGCTTGTGTATTTCACTTTCTCGTAATTCTTTTAAAATAAGCGACGTTACTTCCAACATCAATAAAGAAAGGTTTGTGCTTGTGATAATGTGAGGAAAAGCTAGAATTAATTGCTTATTACTGTAGTTTTAAAGAGAGAGAAATTAATAATAGTATGGAGAAAGAGTTTTTAAAAAGATAAAAATATAACTGGAATGAAATAAAATAAATTTTGGAAAGAAGTCAAGAGAGGCATTGACTAAGAATTATCATGGTTATTAGGATAACTAAGGTAAATAAATAATAGGCCTACATATGTAAAATACATATCTATTCATACAAAATATAATTTTGCTAAATAAGACAAGTAGTTTTAAGAAAACATATCAATTTCTTGTGTACACAGCGTTTCTTTGTGCTCCACCAAACATATACCACACTAGCCTATTTAATAAAGAAATTAATTTTAGAGGTGAATTACAGAGACATTACATGCCATATTTAAACAGTAAAATTTATTAAAAATTTTTAGTGGAGGAACAGGAAAGGGAAGAAGAAAACTTGATTTACTCTGATAAGCAGATGGTGATTGTGAAAGCCAGTGGTGAAGTGTTTACGCCTGAGTGGTACATTGTCCTTACAAGATTATGGTAGGTTTTATTAATAATGCCCAGGTGAGTTAAGCTACACTAAAGGATTAGACAGACTGTAATAGATACGACTTCCCCGTTGAGAAAAAGGGCCGCTTGATATTTTGCACTTCATTATCTGGTAGAAACCAAGTAAACGGTGTGATATTATTGACCAACGCGAGTTTAATAGGAAACCAAGGTCAGTGAATGGCGGATATATTACATATCTTTGAATCAAATCACGTTGATATGATTCAATTTATTGATATTTTGATGATGACTAAGAATTTTTCATACATTGATTTTAAGCTAGGGTCACAATCTACCCCCAGGGCTCAAATTAGCTCCTAAGAAATTTATCATGCATTGTTAAGGTGTAAAGAAGAATGTGATGGAAAAGTTTGAACAAACTTTTGGAGTAAAACTATTTGTTAAATTATTTAAAAAAAAACAAAAAAACAATAATAACAAATTCAATCATACACTATATATCCCTCTTACTGCATCCATTCATTTAATTAACAACTTAAGTATAGTCTGGGTGCAGGACAGTCAGTTATATATATTCTGTAGTTTAAGAGATGTTTTTGTTTTATTTTCTTGTGTGTTTACGTTTGTGAATGTTTAAAGCAATTGTGTTCCATCGTAATTTCCGAAAGGACAAATAAATTTGATTCTGAT